TAGGCGGTCTAGGGGGGAAAGGGGGGAAGCCTCCGCATGCGCAAGAGCCTCCGCGCCTCAGAACCTAAGGACCAGATTTTGAGGACAAGGCCCGCCAGCATGAGACCATGCCCTCAAGAGGGAAACTGTTGGGACACGGTTACGAGTCGTGGAGGCTCCAAGGCTCGCAGTGGCGTTAAGAACTAACGATTAACAAAGTTCTATGAGCGTTGTGCAGGGAAAAAGATGGGAACCTCCGCCTGGTCGGCTGCCCTGGGCGAAGGTCCGGAAGCTGCGGCAAAGGTGCCCGAATGCAGCCGAAGGCGAAGGCTTTAGCGATACAGGCGGAGGCTACGGTCTAGGCGTCGGTGCGAAGGTCCTGGTGAAGGCACCTTAGGCGGAGGTTCTAGGAGCCGGGGAAGCTCCCGTGAGGCGGCGGTGCTGGGCCATGGGCCGCAGACGGACTCACGATAGCGGCCCGATAAGCAAAGACGGTTGAAGAAGAGGATACCCAAACTACCCCGGGTAGCTTGTATTAGCACAGGGATATACCAGGAATGTACCACAGTCGTCCGGCGTAGAGTTGTAATACAGCGCATTAGTAAGCAATGCCCTATAAAAAGGGGGGACAAATCCTGTAAGAGGGCGTGGTGGATATATACATTTATGAAACCCTAATTGAGTTTGGGCCCACCTTCCACTTCTCATACCTTAACCCAGGACATCTAGCTAGGCGAAGGCCTTCCGTGTCCTACCTGCTGGAAACCCCGGTTTTCCAACACCAGGTCAGCCAAATGTCTTCTCGCTGCTGTAGCACATGTAAAGGAAGCCGTCTTTATCCTTGTACGAGTCATAAACACTTCCCATCAGGCTAGCTGTGGGAAAAAAAATTGCATCATCACTATCAATTCAGCTCAACCCATTTCTACTTATGCAAAATGTCTAGTTTCGACCTTCTGCCTCTTAAAATTCTAGCTACTAATGCTTTTTACAACATCAATCCTATCGTAATGCAAGCCGTTACCGATGGACAAAATGTCTAAAGCTTTAGCAGGGATCAGAGAGTTATCGAAGGACAGATGGCGTATTATATTGAGGAACAATCTCACCTGTTTGGGGCAAAGTGTTGTTTACAAACACAAAGAGAGCTGTTCCTGGAGATAGGTGCAGCCTGGAGCGTAGTATGAAAATGAACTGCCCAACCGCCATATCACAGGGAACCAAGTATCTGCACCACAAATAAATTTATATTGCTACATTTCAATTTTCAAAAGAGGATGGTCAATGAAGTTACTGTAAGACATCAGTCACAAGCAGTATGGAATCAATGACAATAGAAACACCCAATCCATCTCTAGTAATGTATAATGGGCACAAGAGAAGAGTGTAACAACTTACTTCCTCTTCTCCATTTGTGGTAAATTACTCCTTGAAAACCTTTCAACTATAACCTGCAAATAGAAGCTAACAATTCAGGAGTGCCATGTTCATCAAGCAATAGATGCCAAACATATGTATTGATGGCAAGAGGGAAATGCAGAGTAAAACATAGGTGATAATTTAGGTGGATATATATGATCAGTTTCAGTTTGGTTGTTCAGGGTACCCAAAAACTTATTAATGATTTAGATTAGAATTTGCCAAGTAGACTCTCAAGAATGAATGTTAGAACGCTTGAGCATGAAAAAATTGTGGACATAACTGAAAAGAGAGGAACTGATGTAATCTGCACAGTTCAATCAATAGTCTAGCATAATTATATACAAAATGATGAAACCCTGAATGAACCACCAGGCCCCAGCATGAGAAAGACTGGGATATCTTTTTCGAGTTCCGAACTCCGAAAGGCTAGAATTATGTGAGCAACAAAGGATTCTCTGAATCCTAAAATCCGGTGTGCTGTTTGGTTCTACCAATATCCGCATATACATGATGATGATTGATATCGTGTGGAGGAGGATGAATGGAAGTGGAAAAGGAGAGCAGTATCAACTAATTAAGACTACGAGTAGTATAGTACTAGTAATAATCGATTAGTGACGCGAACACGAAGAAGAGAAGAAGAGTCAGGCTCAGGTCTCAGGCCCTGAGCGCCTAGGGTTTGGAAGGCAGAGGCTAGCAAGCTGGGACAGGAGAAAGGAAAGGGAATAGAGAGACTTGACATACGGGGATCCTGGCGGGGTAGTTGAAGATCATGGCGGCGGATTCCTGGAGCCTCTCATCTGCACCCCGACCCCAAGCATGCATCAGGAATTACTCAATTAAGTGCACTGCAGAGTGAGATGTGGACTGAGAGCTACTGGCCGAAGGTGAATTCTTGCTGGAAGGGCTTCATGGCGGATCAGATCGAATCGAATCGTCGATCGCTTTTGCTTCCGTCCGTCAATGGAACTCCTCTCCAATCGGCTGCCGCTGGGGGAGGAAGAAGATGACTGAGGAAGCGACCGTGAAGCAGTAGCTGGGCTAGGCTGGGCAGCCTGGTTCCGGAAAAAAAGAAGCCCAGCCTAAACCAATTAAGTCATGGGGGCCCATTTCAATGGCATACCTACAATCTGGTAGTAGCCCATCCAACTAGTTGTCGAGTTCTGTCGTCACGGCTCCACATCTCCCTCCCTCCCTCCCTCGCCCGCCGCCGCCCTGCTCCTACTGCCGCCGCCACCGGAGAAGGGAGAGAGCATGGCCGATGCCCTCGACATGTCTCTCGACGACCTCATCTCCAAGAGCAGGAGCACCCACCAACGCCCACGCGGGCGAGGCCCTGCCTCCGGAGGCGGAGGCCCAGGCGCCGCGACGCCGCTTCAACACCCGCGTTGCCGCATCACCTTACCTCCGACGCGCAACCTTCTCTTTCAAGGTCAGTGTCGGAGATCCCTTCCTCCCCACCCTCTCCATGCTGCTGCTGCTGCTCCTAAATCCTAATTGAAGTTGAACGCACCAGCCCTAATCACTATTCACTGAATGAATCGCACACACATTCGTGGCCCATGGCTTATGCTGGATATAGGGCCATCCAGCCCCAGCCGCCGATGGTCTTCGCCCTCGACGAGCCCACCAAGCTCTACATCTCCAACCTCGACTACGACGTCGTCTCCAACGACGACATCAAGGTCACTCTTTTTCTCTTGCCATAAACCGTGCTGGTATATCTGATTCATCATTTGATAGTCCAGTGTTGCTTATATTACTGCAAGGAAACAAACAATTTGATTCTCCCTATTTTGCTATGCTCCACCATTCTATTTCTACCCAACCAACATGCTCATCCTCCCCTTCCTGACTGATCAGGAACTCTTTTCTGATGTTGGTGATATCAAGCGTTACTCCATCAACTATGATAGGAGTGGAAGATCAAAGGTAGGTTACTTCTGAATTCTGATGCCCATGCTCTTTACTCTTTTCTATCTCATCAGCCTCAATGCTCATTAATTACTTTACTATGGCTCAACATTGGCAGGGAACTGCAGAGGTTATCTTCTCAAGAAGATCTGATGCTCTAGCTGTCGTTAAGAGGTACAACAATGTGCTGCTTGATGGCAAACCTATGAAGATTCAGATCATTGGGACAAACATTGAGGCACCACCGCCACCAACTGCTATCTTCTTCAATCCACCAGCTAGAAACTTCAATTTGCCTTTCAAAAGGTCAGTTAGTACCATCGTTCTTTGCCATATGCAGTGTATTTTTCTCCCCTGATGAAAAAACATTGCTTTCCAAGACTACTGTGCTGCTTTTCAGTCATTAGCTTCACTACCATTCCACAAATGCATACTCTGTTAGAATTTCAACTGTGCAGCATGGTTTCTACAGTACACAGGTGTGCTGATAGTGCAAGCAGAGCAGGGATTATTTGTCTTTTATCTAGGGACTCATATTAAAACTCCCGGGGAACAAACAAAAAGCTACATCTCTTTTATGTCATGTGGGGAATAAATAGATATAAGTCACATTCTCAGATTAGTGACAGAAGTATATATAGGACCCATGGTATTAAGCTTTTTGTTGACATTTGACAATCACCTGGAAACTAATGCTCATAAATGTTGCCTCCACATGATAAACGAGTGGTTTGGGAGTGTGTGCGCTGCGAAATCTGTCAAACATGTGATGGAATCGGAACCGAGTCTTAGTTACTGTGATTTGCTAATCTAAGATTGCATTGTCATGTGAATCAACAGTTTTGGCAATGCTTTGCTCCCTAGTGTCTTTTTTTCTCTTCTATAAAGATCTCGAGTAAGAAACCAGCACTGAAATTTTGCAGTTGGCCTGGAAGAGGTGGTGCTGGAGGATGGCCTCAGAGCAGAGGTGGATTTGGTGGGCGTGAGCAAGGGCGTGGTGGGCATGGTGGGCGTGGGCGTGGGAGAGGGAGGGGGAGGGGGAGGGGGAGGAGGAGGGGAGAGGGTCGTGGTTAGAAAGTTTCTGCTGAAGATCTAGACGCGGATTTGGACAAGTACCATGCTGCAGCAATAGAAACCAGCTAAATGGTTCTGGCACAGCATTCGTGGTGGGCAGTAGCCAGTATGTCTTCCTGTGTCTCCTTCTGTAGGAATAGATGTTGACCACAGTATAATGTATCGGATCATGAGCGGGTGTATTAATCTGGAAGGTCAATTTGCCTTGTGAACATGTTGGGTGATGAAATGGAGAGCATGGAAGCATTTGCGAGACGAGGTGTTTTTGTGAGAGGAGGCTGACTCTTGTTCCATTGTAGGTTTGGTTGCTTCTTAGTTACAAACTTGTAGATGGTAATGGAATATATACAGCATGGTTCTGATATTCTGTCACAGTTCATGTTGGATGTCGTCGCTGTGCAGTTCAACTGCATGATTATTTTTTTAGCCTGGGCACAAGTCAATCGGGTCTCTCACGAGTTGCCAGAATTTGTGGCATCGTTGGTTGCTTGATAACCTGTCTCTGTTTTTCAACTCGGAGGTAGTCCCTTGAGCTGAAAGGAGTATTTGTGAGCTTTTACTATGTATTCTGTAGAAGAATGCATGTGTATGGATCTACCAATTAAACTCTATCAGTGAGTGGTGAGCTGCAGGCTGTTGAGGTCTAGGATGTGCGCCTCCAGCAGCTGGGCCTCCTTGAGGATCTCTCCCATGCACAGGGCAATGGAGCCCAGGCAGCACACTAGCAACAATCTCTCCTCTGGTTGCTGCACGCTGTCGTCGTCGTCGCCATTCAGCAGCAGCAGCTTTGCCTCTCGTGCCTCTGCTAGGAAGGAGCCCACCACCTCATCATCCTTGTAGCAGCAGCTGCAGCCGACGCCACCAGCCGCTGTCCCAGCCTCAAGATCGACGACCTGGCCCTCGGCCTCTTTGCGTGGTTCCAGCATCTGGAGGCAGTGGCTGAGGGAGCTGGAGGCGAGGCTGCTGAAGCGCCGCTGCTGGATGGTGTTGGCGTTGGTGTCATCGTCCACGTCCACCTGCTGGTGCCGGCGTGCCTGGTGGTAGAGCTGCAGCAGCTGCACCATCCTGCCGAGGCTGCCCTGGATCTTGTCGTAGCAGGCCGCTGGGAAGGGCGGCAGCCACAGGTAGGTGGGCTCGGTGCCGGCCTCCATGGCGTACTTCCTCAAGAGAACCAGCTCCTGCTGCACCCTCTTCAATTCTGATGAAGGCTCAGCAACTAGGCAGCAGCGGTCTGCCAGCACGGCGATGCAGCGGGTGAGCTGCTCCCTGGCCTGCACCGACGGCCTGGCTCCGGGCTGGAACACAAGGTCCGCCAGGACGGCGCAGGAGATGCCTATGAAGGTCTCCACCAGGCGCGCGATGGTGAAGGCCATGGGAGCCTCGTCGTAGCGGCGCCCCATGATGATGACGACCGACAGCGCGGCCGCCACGCCGCCGGCGGGGCCGTAGGCGCGGCTGCGTTTGAGGAAGGTGGCGAGGACCATCCAGGGGAGGAGGGCCACGAAGCGCAGGCCCATGGTCAGGAGCTGCTGCTGCGACATGAGCAGGCAGCACAGCACGCCGTAGATGGAGCCCAGGGCGGTGCCGTGGGCGCGCGCCACGGCCACAGCCCAGGTGGATTCGCGCTCCGCCGTCATGGTGGTGGCGACGATGAGGCCCGACCAGAAGCCGTGGTCGTTGCTGAAGAGCAGGCCCAGCAGGACGGCAAGGCCGAGCGAGAAGCCGCACTTGGCCGCCGCCACGAGCCGACGACGCCGAGGCCACCGCCAGCTGATACAACCTGCTGATGGGCCGCGTGTCTGCTGGTGCTTGTTCGTCGTAGCCTTCTCTCCTGCAGTTGCAGTGGCTGCCTCTGCTTGTGAAGATGAATCGTCCTGCCCCACTTGCTCCAGTTCTTCTTCTTGCTCTAATAGTAATTCTTGTCCTGTCGTCGTTGTTGTTGCCAGCGCTACCTGCTTGGCGTTGGGCATGGCAGCTGCCTCTGCCGTCAATGGCGTCTCGGGACCAGCACCGCAGCAGCGACGATGGAGCTGATAGAGGGAGAAGATGAACAAAAAAGGCGCCAGCTGCTGGCGCTCGTGGTAGTCGTAGTTGGTCGGAGTTGGCAAGTAGCAGAGGGACTTGCTGGGCGTGGCAGTGGCCGTGCTGGATAATCCAAATCTCCTCTGCTTGTTGGGCGTGAGGAGGGCGAGGCGTATTTGGTCCCTCATCGCCATGACAAGGCCGACGACCATGTTTTCCTTATTGTTGTCGTTGTTCCTCCCATCAGAATCAGGGTGGCGGCCGTCGGCTTGTTGCATCGTAGCGAGTGCGATCTGCATTCCCGTCAGGGGCATCTCGATGCTGCTCTTGTTGTCGTCCACCACCACCATCGCTCGCTCCCACTGCAAATCCTCCTGCACGCATGCATGCACAAGTCAGCAACACGTACTGTAATTAATGTAACAAACGACACTTATTAGCTTACCTTGATGGCGTTCATGCGGTTGAGGAGGGTTGTACTTGCGGAGGCCAGCCGGTTGGCCTCCGACATGCACGACGCCATCTGCCATCGCCGCTGCCGGCTGCACGCCTCGGCCGCCACACCCACACCAATAAAGGCGTCAGCCAGGACCCTGACCCTCTCGGCGGCAACCACCTTGTACGCTCTGCTCTTGTCCCTGGCCTCCCGTGTGGCCATCCTCGGCCAGGGAAGCAGCACGGCCAGCAGCGCCGCCGCCACCCCGAGCGCCGTGCACGCCACCACGTTGGCCGGGTGCAGCAGCGCCAGGCCGCGGCTGGGGCGCTCCCCCTGCTGGAACCTGGCCACGTAGATTATGATGGCCTGCCCCAGCGCGATCCGCTTCGCCACCGGCCCCACCGACTCCGGCAGCGCCACCGCGAACGCCGTCAGCGCCACCACGGCCGACGTGGCCACCACCGACTCCGCCGCGCCCGTGCGGTGCGCGAGCAGCAGCGCCGCCACGGAGGGCGCGGTGCCAATGAGGGTGCCGTGGAGCGCGCTCACGGCGCCGCGCAGGGCCGTGCCGAGAGTGGCGTCCGTGACGAGGATGACGGTGACGACGTAGGAGAAGGCCGGGAAGGTGATGTGGCGGCGGAGGGCGGCCGGTGCGTAGAGGGAGACGAGGGCCACGATGGTGCAGGCCAGGGCGGCACGGAGGCCCGACGACTGGGACGAACGCCAACGCCCCGTCACCAGTTGCCGCACCACATCGTCGTCTTGTGATGAGAAGGAGCCGCTGCGGCAGGGTGGTGGCGGCGGCGGCGGTAACGACTTGTTGGCCGCTAATGACTGTACTAGCTGCCGCTGCTTCGTCGCCGTTGTTGGTGCCATTATTCCTTTCAGTTGCATTGGCACGTACATACTACGCACGTGTTCACGCGTTAGATATGAATAACTACAGATAGATTCCCTTGATATATGGAGGATACCTGCTGTGTTCTCCAAGCGAATGGCAAGCTAAAGTCGTAGCTAACAGCTCAAGAAATGTGTAAGCCGGCAAGGCATGCAAATGCAAGTGAATGCAGCCACACGTACAGCTTGCCTATAATATATAGAAGTGAGCGAGCGAGCGAGACGACCTAGCTAGTGTGGCAACATCATCGACACTGACTGTACGTGAGATATATAGATCATCGATATATAGGGTACGTAAACCAAGTACACATAGAGTATGTTAAAGTTGTGCGTCAGCGTGCAAGTGCTTTCTTTGGTAGATTCTTACTTTGTGGTTTAATTTGTGCTATATATGCTAGATCGATCATCGGTGGATCTTAACTTTTAGGTTAGTTATATATATACATATACATATTGGGTGGCGCGGCGCACAAAAAGTAGGATGTTGTTGCTACCTTAGTGGCCATTCTTTGCTATTCCACTGCTTTCGGATCAATGGACGTCATACATATATTGACTGACCCCTCCTCATTCATCCACATATTTATTCGATTCGATGCACGTACTGTATTATATTACCTACCAAAGCTGCATGCATTATTATTTGTTTTACCCTCTTTTATATATATGACAGTAGTGTGTCCATATGTCCCACCAATAACTCTCTAACCTCACAGAAATTATGCACACATATATTTGAGTATATGTATGTATATACATACATATATATTTATTATTGTAGATGAAGAAACATATATGTATTTTTTGGAGCACTGGAAAGAAATTATGCACACATATATTTGAGTATGTATGTATATACATATATATTTATTATTGTAGATGAAGAAACATATATGTATTTTTTGGAGCGAGCACTGGAAAGATGTAGACGGTAGCTTTACATTACGTACGTGCACATAAATTTACTGCTACGAAGGCACGTGTGCTGTGTGCATCTTATCCCTACTATTATTATCACCCCAAGAGTAGTATATAATCTTAGGGCTGAGATTGACAAAGCCACCTCAAGTGCTTCGCTTTTGACGCGCATATGCCTACCGCTGAAAGGAAGTAAATTCGAATACGAGCACTTGTGCTGAGTTATTACTATAGAGATCAAATCAGTGGGTAGGTTTCATCGAAAACAACCAATGAACCATCTAAGGTACACTCAATTCTCGCAAAAACAATATATGTCAGTCTTAGATTTAATTTGCTATTAGGTAATGCTTTTAACTAGATGTATATGTACAGTGGCGGAGCCTCGTAGAGGCAAGAAAAGATTGTGAATCTCTAAAATCTGATTGTGATTGAAGAGAAAGGAGAAAAGGCTAGACATAATTGTGACTGTGACTGTGATTGCAAAAAAAAAAAAGGCCGAGTACTGGAAGCAAATGTATGCATGCCTGGCATTGCTGGTAGCTAATATTAGCTTCTGAAAATTGTTCCCTCTAATTTCAGATTCACCCTCCGCGCGCCACTTGATGTATATATGCAATAAGTCGTTATTGTATATATATATATGTATGTATATGTGTACAAGGAGTATTAGAGAGACACGAGCTCTAGTGGCTTCCACGTCGATATGCATGCATGGAAACGTGCATCAGTGGAGGATGCGTTGGTATTTCCACTAGGGGAGCTGCCCGAGAGTCCACCAGTCCAGTCCATTGGAGCGCATTTGGGACGCGGCGAACATAAATATGTAGCTCATGAAATATGCGATGCGCCTGTATCTGGCTAGATGAACATACAGTACTTAGATGGCTGGCCACATGACGGTGTGAAAGGTTAAGTTAAAATGGCAACACATTATATCGGCGCTCAAGAGTTAAAGGCAAACACATTATGGCTGGGACGATGGAGAGACACGTATGTGCAACTAACTCCACTCCACCCATGTTGTTACGGAGGTGCTAGCGCTCGGACGTCCGGACACCCGCACAGCATGACCCAATCCGTTGATTTTTCCCGCCCCGCACGCGCATCTCATCCAGTCGCAGCGCCCGCTTGTCTGGAGGACTTGCCTAACCCCACACTCACGCCCCGCCCCTACCGCCGGCCCCGAGCGCGCCCCGTCTGCCGGCACCCAGCTCGTCGCACCCCATTCCCAGGTGCCCGCGCCGTGCCACCATCACTCCCCACGTGCCCTGATTCTCTGAAGAGCATGAAAGATGTGCAATATGAAACACTTGAATACAACATAAGTATGCAACAGATAAAACATCTGAAACATACACTTGCAGCACATATGTGAAACATATGCAACATCCAAAATAAAACATTTTCAACTTGCAACATGAAAACACTTATTGCAACATAAGACTGATATAGTTAAAACATTTGGAACATATAGCTGCAACATATGTGTGAAATATATGCAACATCCAGATTATAACACTTTCAACATACGTCTGGAATAGATGAAACATTTTGAACAAACCTCTAAAACACTTACAACATGCCTCTGAAACACTCGCAACATGTGCAACATCCTCCGAAATACTTTTGCAACATCCATATGAAACAATTGCAACATACCTCTGAAACGTCTAAAACACTTGAAACATATGCTGCAACATGTGCTTTAATCGCAACATCTCCTTGCTGAGGTCGTGCATCGCGACGGCCATGGCTTCGACAGCGGCCACAACCTTCTGGTGGGGAACGGCGGCGTCAGCAGCACCTCAGCACACGCGGGGGATGGGGTACGGTGCGCAGCAAGTGGGGGTGCGGCACGCTGGAGCGTGTGCGGCAGGGGATGGAGCCCGGCACGATGATGGAGGGGCGCAACGTGGGATGGAGCGCATCGCTGGATAGGGGAGCCACGTGGCGCCAAATTGGGCGCAACGGAGAAGACGGCAGCAGCAAGCGCATGCGCAAAGCAGCACGCGATGGGGAGATATTTTTGAGACAAGAGATGGGAGACGCAGAGAGTAAGCAAGCCTGTTGGACCGGTACATGCAGACCTATAAAGCCGCGTCCGGACGGATGGACGTCCGCTCCTGAACATTACCGATGTTGTTAGGTCGGGTTAATCTCTTGCCCAACGAGCATCTCCAATAGTTTGGTGAAGTCACTTCTAATCTAAATTATTTTTTTAGCACAAAAAATGTAACCCTTCTCCAATAGCTATATATATATACACACACACACACCTAACTCCCAATCTATCCACGCAAATGACTGCTAGCTACTCCCTTTCATGGGGGCGGCGCTTTTTTTTCTTGACACTCCGTCACCCCCGACCTTCACTGAAATTGAATATCCGATCAATATTTTGATTCTTTTTTAGAAGTTCTAGGTGTGGATGCTGGTGATGCATGGCTGTGGGGGTGACTAGCGGCAGCGGCGGTGTATCGAGCAAAAATCTTCAAGTGGATATACCTTTTGGTTTTTAGGTGTAAATTATTAAAAAATGTTGGTGATAGTTTTTTTTTGTTTCCATTATGTATTAGAAAGGTTGCAAAACCATATTTTCAGGATTATTTTTTGGTATTATTGATATGCTCTTACAGACGAATCCAAGAATGGACATCTATCTAGATGGAGCATACATAGGAAACACGTTAATTAGGAAAGGAGATGAAGACGGAACCGAAGAGAGTTGCCCCAACCTAAGGTTAGAGTTAATAAAAATTATGGACTATTAATGAGGCATTCCACAATAGTTCATTTCATATATTTGATTCATGATTGATCATGAATATATACAGGGGTTCTTCAATCATTTGTTCCATGCATTGTCGTCAAAATGATTAATATTAAACAAACAGAGAGAAGAATATAGTCTCTATCTACAAAGTGAGACCGCCCGTAGTGAGATGACAAGAGAGAACATGTATATAATATATCTGGGGAGGAAGGAATCTAATGATATGTGGCTGCAGTATGCTACGCGCGTACGGGTCGTCACAGACACAGACGTCGTCCCTAGGCAGCAACGAATGAACATGTGCAAAAGTACAAATGCAGAGGTAGCTTTGGCTTGACCTTTGGGGTGCATGGAAGGGAGGGGCGGCACTGGGCACATCCATATATGACGTCTCTATACCTAAATTCTTCGATCTCATGGTCATGGCCGGCATACCAAGAACAAAGTTAGTTAAAGACACCCAGCATACGCACGCACGCACCATATATTCCCATGCCCGGCGCTTGTTCTCTCTCTTCTCTATCGTGGCTCTTCTCTCTCATGCTCAGTTGATCATCAATCAATTTGTATTTGGAAACAATATATTCGCAATTTCCCAGGTGCCAAACAGATTCTCTCAAGATGCATGTATATGTGCATGCAGCCGGTGAGCCAGACATTCAAATCTTTAACAAATAACTATTATGCTAGGGACATACTAGCGTCGAGACGGTTGGCCACCAACAATTCGCTCGCACACACCCACGCGTACATGGGTACCACCCGAGCCCGCTCCATTTCACGCACCCGCATGCACGTGGGGACCATGTGTGCCCCCATCCACTTCCCACGCGGAGACTGCCTATGCCCGCTCGGTGGCGCGCCAACAACTAAAGCAGGCGGTTGCGGCAGGTAGGTCCAATCGTAACATGTGTAACACTAGATATACTTTTATAACATCTCTAGATAAAACGCTTGAACATACTCCCTCTGCTCCTGAATAAATAGATTATAGAGTTGTCTTAAGTCAAACTTTTTAAACTTTGATCGAATTTCTAGAAAAAACCCGTCAAGATTTACGGCATCAAATTAGTATCATTAGATATTACTAAAGAATATATTTTCATAATATGCTCATTTTATATCAAAGTGTTGTTACTCTTTCCTATAAAGTTACACAGACTCTAGGAGTTGATTTATTTGGGGGACAGAGGGAGTACATCGCAAATAGCTGAAACATGACAATAGACGACGTTGTTTCTTTCAGATAGGCACACTTTACTGTTCCCCAGCTACAAACATA